GATGGGGGGGTAGAGGTACGGGTTAGGGTTAGGATAGGAGCTGTGGGGGGGTAGAGGTACGGGTTAGGGTTAGGATCAGGGTAGGAGATGCTCTTTGAAGAGGGGGGTCTTCAAGAGTTTCTTGAAGACAGACAGGGACGCTGCTGTAAGCTAATGCTTGTTTCCTCAGATACACGTTTATGAGGGACGGGAAGATGTGCACTTTGCGCATCAAGGAGTGCAGGCCGGATGACGAGTGTGAATACGCCTGCGGTGTGGACGAGAAGAGGTCCAGAGCCAGGCTCTTTGTTGAAGGTTAGCTCCTCAGTTCCCCACTCACTCACAGGCTGAAGGGCTTCTGTGCATCTGGATGCTAAATGTGTCCCTCTGCCCTACAGAGACCCCGGTGGAGATCGTCCGGCCGCCACAGGACGTGTTTGAGCCTCCGGGCTCTGACATCGTGTTCGAGGTGGAGCTCAACAAGGACCGGGTGGAGGTGAAGTGGCTGAGGAACAACATGACCATCGTCCAGGGAGACAAGTACCAGATGATGAGCGAGGGCAAAGTGCACAGGCTGCAGGTCTGTGAGATCAGGCCCAGAGACCAGGGGGAGTACAGGGTAATCGTTAAAGACAAAGACGCCAAGGCCAAGCTGGAGCTGGCAGGTGAGAGTCCCGGCAGGGCACCAGATCCCAGTCAAAGCCAAAACTATGCATTACCTTTACACATGAAGAGGCAGGCTTCCATGTTTATGACTGTCTTCTTCTCTCCTTCATTGCGCAGCGGCACCTCAGATGAAGACAACCGACCAGACCTACGTCACCGACGCCGGGAAGCCCATCGTCATGGCGGTGCCCTACAGCGCCTACCCGAAGGCTGAGGCCGACTGGCTGTACAACAACCTGAGTCTGCCCAAAGACAACATCCACACCTCTGCCGACCGCACCGAGTACCGGCTCAAGGACCCCAAGAAGTCTGACCAAGGCCGCTACCGGGTCACCATCAAGAACAAGCACGGACAAGGAGAAGCCTTCATCACCCTGGATGTCATCGGTGAGCTCAGATGAGAGGCCCTTTTGTTCCCTCAGCTTCCTCAGAGCCCTGAGCTGTGTGCACTCATTCATCCACCTAATCCATGTGTCTGCAGATGTCCCCGGACCGGTGAAGAACCTGCAGGTGGTGGACACGGCCAACGGCGAGGTCAGCTTGGCGTGGGAGGAGCCTGAGAGCGACGGCGGCAGCAAGGTGGTCGCCTACGTGGTGGAGAGGCGCGATGTGAAGCGCAAGACCTGGACGCTGGCAACCGACCACGCCGAGAGTCCCGAGTACACGGTGACCGGGCTCCAGAAGGACTCCTTCTACCTGTTCAGAGTCTGCGCCCGCAACCGGGTGGGCAGCGGCCCCCTGGTGGAGACAGACAAAGCTGTGCAAGCCAAGAACAAGTTTGGTAGGTTTCCCTCTGCCCCAGAATCAGAATTAGAATCAGAATCAGAATAAGGTTTATTGCCAAGTAGGTTTTTGACTTACAAGGAATTTGCCTTGGTGTTTGGTGCACAGAACTCCTATGATAAGCAAGGAAGGAAATAAAATGTAGGAATAAAAATATAGAACAGAAATGATAAAACTAAAAAGAACAATCTTTAAAAATATATATCTGAATGTACAAAGCTGAATGCTGACCACATTCAAAAAGAGCCCAGGGAAACGCTGACCTGTTTTCCTTAATTTCCTGAGGGAGTCTTCCCAAGGGATCAATAAAGTACTGCCTAAGTCTAATGTCTAAGTCTAAGTCCTGCTTTTGCCCCTCAGATGTTCCAGAGGCTCCTCTGAACGTCATCGTGGGAAACGTCACTAAGTTCGGCTGCACCGTCTCCTGGGAGCCCCCCCAGTCAGATGGAGGTTCCCCCATCACGTCTTACATCATCGAGCTGCGCGACAGGACGTCGGTGAAGTGGAGCCCCGTCCAGATGACCAAGGCCAACGAGCTCAGCGCCGTGGTCAACGACGTCATCGAGAACAAAGAGTACATCTTCAGAGTCAAGGCTGAGAACAAAGCTGGCGTCGGCAAACCCAGCGCAGCCTCCCAACCCGTCAAGATCATGGACCCCATCGGTGAGTAGCCCCTCAGCCCGGTCCGTTTGTCACAGGCGATGGATCTTAGGGAGGACTCAGTCGCGGAGATTGGTGAAAACAGGGTTTATTGTAACAAAAACACACTCAAAAGGACTGAATGGTAGACATGGTTCAAAAACAAGGCTGTGACAAAACTATGAACAAAGTATCAAATCAAGATTAAACATGACTGTGAACACAGAGTATCAAATAAAGTAAACAAGGCTATGGCAAAGTATCAAATCAAGATTAACAAAACTGTGGCAAGGCTGTGACCAAAAACATGGCTATGGCAATAAAGGAAAACAAGACTATGGCATGGCTGTGACAAAAATCAAACCTTATGTGGCGAGGGGTGACGAAAAGACAAAAGACGAAAATGACGAAAGACGAATTGACAAAAATGACGAAAACACACTGGCACAGGACATGGTAAACGAAGACTATTTAAACACATGAGGGAGGGGAACCCCAGGTGTACACAATAGGTAATCAACACATGACAACACACCAGACATTCCCCCAGACGTGACACCTTTAAGAGAACCAACCCCCGACCGTCCTCTGGCCACTGAAACACTTGTGGTTTGTTTTTGTGCTTCTTGCAGAGCGCCCCAGCCCCCCGCTGAACCTGACCTCGCAGGACCAGAACAAGAACTCGGTGCAGCTCAGCTGGGAGACGCCTCTGAAGAACGGAGGCAGCATGATCACCGGATACATCATCGAGCGCTGCGAGGACGGCTCCGACAAGTGGCTGCGCTGCAACGCCCGCCTCTGCCCAGACCTCTTCTACAAGGTTCTGACACCGGTGGCTCTGAGCCGGGGGGTGGTGGGTGAGGGGACCGTTCCTGCTCTGACTCTCCGAACTCTGCCTCCTGCTGCAGGTGTCCGGTCTGAAATACGGAACCAAGTACAACTACAAGGTGTTTGCTGAGAATGCTGCGGGAGTCTCAGACCCGTCCAACATCATCGGACCTCTGCTGGCTGACGACATGCACGGTGAGACGCAACTACAGCCAAAACTCAGAAAAGTTCAAATCAAAATAGCTGAAGTCTGTGTTCTCATATGAACTCTGTCTCCTCTGCAGTTGGCCCGAACTTTGACCTTAGTGCTTTCAAAGATGGCCTCGAGGTGATCGTCCCTCAGCCTCTCACCATCAGAGTCCCCATCACCGGGTACCCGACCCCCAAGGCAAAGTGGACCTTCGGAGAGAAGGAGTTGACCACTGCAGACGAGCGCATCTCCCTGACCACCAAGTCCACCTTCACAGAACTTGTTGTCAGGCCGAGCGTCCGCCCCGACAAAGGCACCTACACCCTGCATCTGGAGAATGACGTCACATCTGTGTCCGGAGACATCGAAGTCAACGTCAT